TTCATTTTGCCTAGTCACAACGACCCCGTAATACCTCACAACCACGTATCGAAAACATTTACTTCTTCTCGTGGGGTCTTTTTCGCGCACTAGCAACTTTCCTTTTTTCGGGTCATGAAGCCGACATCTACAGGGTCAATGAAGCCGACATCTATACATCCATCAGTTGCACAATTAATTTCCTGGACTTTGAGGACCAGTACTGTCACAAACTTTGACTACTGGGATTTCTTGTGTTCTTGTTACAACACGAAGTAGTGCAAAAACGCATGATCGTTTCGGTTCACCTGGTGCGCGTCGCCAATGATCTACATCTATGCAGTACAAAACGCATACCGTTGAGGAGTTATCTCTCTCTGTGTGTGTATGCCTCTGTGTCTGCATCTGTGTGTGCGTTTGTAGCGAGTTTTCATCCGAAGACTTAGCCTACAAGACTGAAACTTTAGCAACTTAACCTACACACCCATGTAAGGCTCCTATCTTTAAAGTGAACGCCCACGTCCACGTGGTCTTCACGGACGGACACATGAAATTCGGCAAAGACAGTTGTGCAACTTTAGATATGAAGCAGTTAGAGGGCTTTCTGAACGAGGCCGATGGCAACGTTTGACCACGTGGATATGGAAACAACTTTCATGTTCCTTTCATGCGCCATGCACGAACACATGAAATTTGACGCAATCCTCCAACCAAAACAGCTAGAGCGCTCAAATCTCCTGAATGTTGTCTACGACCGTGTTTGGGCAGTATAAAGAACTTTCATTTTTCTCCTCACACACGACTCGTGAAATCTTACCTTGCAACCAAAGCCGCTACACTGCCGAAATTTTTGATAGAAATCGGTCCTCAAAAATGTTTGGACAGGCGCATACAAAAAAAAACTTCCTTGTTCCCCTCAGATACGAACAAGTGAAATTTTGACGTAATCCCGCAACCAAAGCAGCTGGAGTTCTGAAACCTTCTCTGAGTGTGAAACAGGAGCGTGCTTGGGCAGGTATACGTAAAAACACTATTCACACCCCTTCCATTTACAAACAAGTGAAATTTGAAGCAACTCCGTAATCGAAGCATCTAGAGTGCTGCATTTTTTAAGCTTGTATTGGGAGTCTCTATAATAATTTCTTACAACTGTGGTTTCAGTTTTTTTAGCTAGAAGCATCTGCTGGAAAAACGGCACTTTTGCGACAAAAATTTACGATGGAACTGTGCAAAAAACGCACCTCGGCGTCGAAAGTCGATGTGCTAGCGAATTATTTATTCCGCTTCGAAATAAATTTGAAGAGGGAGAGAGTAGGCGAGGAAGATAAAAAGCAAAAAATGTTCGACACTCTTTGCAGTCGAACTTTACAGGCTCGGACTACAAGGACGCTCCAGATCCAGTAAATCGAATCTGTCCCCTTTGTATTTAACTCACTGGTGTTCTGCGCTACTGCAGCCATCTCAATCGTCAAAAGAATTAAAATCACCGAATCTTGTTGCACTTCAACACCCTTCGGAATACGAAATGCTTCCTCCATGTCATCATCGTCGTCATCAATACCTCGCCTTGGCCTTCTCTGCAGCGGTGAAAAATCGGGCGACTCAAAGTTGTAGCGAAAAGAAGCTGACGGTTCTGAAATTCAATTAAAAAAAAAAAACCATATTTCGTGATTTCGTTTGTTGCCTTTGGGAACTCCTGTACTATTCATCCCCAATACGTCTCTATCTATTGCAGTGTTTGTTGCCATGGCAGATGATGGCTGACTGTTGAAAGGTAAGCCCTAAAAGGGCATACACGGCAGAGAAGACATGAAACACTGCTCAGCATTGCCACCCCCATCCAAAACTAAGAAAGAAAGACGGAAACTGAACATTCTTTCCACCGTTAGAAGATGTAGCTTCGGCAAGAACTGTGCAAAGCTGTAAGGCAACACTGGTAATGCCATACAATGAGAGCCGAAACAGTCGCCCTTAATTATGAAATACAATTTCCTTTCTAAATAACATGAGGTCATAACTGTCATAGTGACGAGGTCCAGCTGTGGTGCAGAGCAAGAATGTATATGACTTCAAGGACCGAAACATTTCTGTTTAGCTGTTTAATTTTAGTTTCAACCTATCTCCTTTAATTTTGCTAAAACACAGCTTTAAATGAATGTCAAGTGTACCACTTTGAAGTGCTCAAACTAGAATTTAAATCAAAAACGAGCTATTTGGCTACTTAAAAAAAATGCCTCAGAAAATGAATAACTAACAGAAGGCAATTTTCAAAGACGCGGCACGGAACGTTTGAGATCCAAAAAATACGGTGACTGTCGCCTCGTGGGCAACATGCTTTCACGCGGATGTTTGTGTTATTTCTAGCGTGTGTGCTGTTTTTATCCTGTTATAGAACCCAGTAGAAATAACAGTAAATAAATAGCAACGCGCACCAGATTATCCTGTACGATCATGCGGTCTGTGCAATTCCGCCCACAGAACGATTGCCTATTAATAATTTTTACTGCTTTGTGCTTTAGTCTGTGCAAAAATAGTTGAAATGTTGAAAAATAGTTAATTTCACGCACAGGCGCATGAAAGCTGAATTTGAAACCTTGAGGGGTGAATATTCTTCCGTGGTTCCCGAAAAGTTTACTCGCCAAAATTTTCACGAAGCCGTAAGTGATACCCGAGAGCACGGGAACGCTGAATTTGAATTTGTAAGATCGTACGTGGGCAAGGCGTCATTACCCTAAAAGTTCAGCTTCTTGGACTCTATGGTTCCCGAAATAATTCTCCCGCAGAAATTTTTAAGGGAGCGTACATGTTACCCGTGGGCAGGAGAAAGCCGAGTTTAAATTTTCTGGGTAACACATGGACACGCCCACAAAATTTCAGCCTTCTAGCTTCAGTGGTTCCCGTGATAATAATCTTACCCGCCCAAACTTCTACGGGATCGTACGTGTTACCCGCGGGTACGGGTAAGCTGAATTTAAACTTGCGGGGTCACACGTGGGTGGGGGACGTTCCCCTAAATTTTCAGCTTCCTACCTTCTGCGGTTCCCGGGTTGAAAGCTGCGGACATACACGCACATACACATACACACACAGACAATATGCGTATTGTACTGCTGTTACACAGCACAAAACATAAAAACTAGGGATCGAACTTTACCAGTAGTTATCTACTTTCTTCGCTGGGCAATAAGCTCTTTCCCCCTTCCATAGCGACATTGAAACCTGGTCGTATGCACAAGTAGCAACCGTAGTCAAACTTCTCAGCTTTGCCTTAATTTTAATAGTTGATTTTGAAATACATATAAAATGTTCACCCCTCTCCTGCCCTGTTCGCTCATTCTTGAGGAGAAACTTAGGACATTAAAAAAGTATATATATGTATGTGTATAAAATTATATTAAAATAAATGGTCAGAGCACCGACTGTCGGTGCGAAGATGTGTTTTTTGCAGTAGTTCCTCGCAGATTTTTGTCGCTAACGGCACCAATTTTCCGGTAGATGTTTCTGGTTAACAGAATTCGGACTGGTCGCCATCCTCTTAAAATCCAGCTTTCTAGCTTTCTTGATTTCCGAGTCAGCGAGTTACCCACAAAAAGCTTTCATGCGCCCGTACGTGGCTACCACGCGCCTATTTTGGGGATGGAGACCCGTACATGCATGTAGATTGAGCTCCAAAAGTTTCAGCCCTGCGGCTTTTGTAGGTCTCGAGATGAAAAATCAGTACACAAGAAAATACATACACACACAGACAACCTCTCGTCAATATACATATTCTGCACTGCATAGACGCAAAAAACGTATAAAAATTTTAAAAAAAAAATGTATTACGTAAAATTATATAAAACTATTGGATTTCTGGTGAAGACAAGGAGGAGGGGTTATCAGCACCCCTGAAACACAAAGAGAAGGAGGAGAGGCAGTAGCGGTTCATCA